AAACATACATGTTATATATGTAAATACACACACACACACAAACACACACACACATACACACATAAAATGCATCATGAAATATAAATGTGCATGAATTAATGCACTGCTTATTAATAATTCATGACATTTTTTGTCGTCGTCGTGAATTGGCTGTTTGTTTACAAGCGCTATGAATATGCCTAAATGGAGTTTTACGTTGGGGCGTTCTAATTCAAGTGCTTCATTTGGAGTGCTAATAATAATAATAAAATAATAATAATAATAATGATAATAATAATAATGATAATAATAATAATGATAATAATAATAACAATAATAATGAATATGATGCTATCGATGAAGAAAAGGAGACCAATTAAGAAACCTGACACCTAATTCGCATCAAAGTTCAATTTTACAACACCAAAGTTAATTTTTACAACGTCCAAGTTAATCTTGACAAAGTCAATATTTCCCTATATATACAACAAGGAGCACTGACGATGATTCATTCGGAATCGAAATATGGCCTTATTTGCAGCATGAATTCGAAAAATAAGTTTATTTTGAATTTTAATAAACTAAACGTTCACCAAAAAACTTTAGTGAGAAAAATCGAAAAAGCAAACTACAAACATATTAACGCCAAACATTCGGTAGAATTTATAAAATATTGTAAAAAAATATATATATATATATATATATATATAATATATATATATATAAGGAAAACTAATTTAATGCCAAATTAGTCTCGCAATTTCAACAATGAATTTAATTTTCAACAGTCACATGAATTTGTTTAATCAAGCTAGCTAGCTCTTCATCAAACAGAATGCGTTTTTTTCATTTACACAATTCGTTGGCGTTATTTTTACAGATTTGGGATTAGTGATGTATATATATATATATATATATATATATATATATATTTGTGTGTGTATGTGAGTGTTTTGAATATTTTTTGGTGGTGTATCGAAAATAAATTACCATTTTTTAAAAAACCATTTTTAATAATGAGCGTACAGAAATGCTTATAAATTAAATTCTCAGTTAATAACGTCTATAATGTTCATTAAATGGCCACTGGTCATAACGATCCTGTCTTTCTGGCGATTATTTTGAAAAAGTTTAGCCATTAGTTAGCACGCGCACCTTGTCGTTATCGGCGCCATTATCAAAATTGTTTAATTCTGTGGTACGATACTTTTGTAAATTAAAAAGTTTTCCGAATTTGTGCCTGACGTTTGGCTCATTAATTACATTATAGATGACGAGATGAGGAAAAAACGTTATTTACCATTCATTTCTTTTTACTCTCATTTTAGATTTCCTATATTATTTTTTATTTTATTTAAAAAATTAAAATTTAAATAAGTTTTTTTTAAATTTTACTATCCATTGTTATTCTCTGTGACCTATTTTAGTCTATATTTGTTAAATCTGTTTAATTGAATATTGTTAAAATGTTAATTAAATTGTTAAATGACTTGTAAATGATCTCAACTGATTATCATTATTATATTTGACTGAATTGTAAATTTTTAAATTAGAACAAAAAAACCAAATAAACTAAATTAGTAAATTACTATACTGATAAATAAATTGATAAAATTCTTGGGTAAAGCTAGCATCTGTTCAATAGCAAATGTTCAATTTTAAGCTATTTTTGAAAAATGATAAGTATAGTTATTTATTAGTATGCTAGATGATAAAAAAAAAAATTAAAAATTTTAAGTTTATAATGATATTTAGTAATAATTGTAATTTGGTTAGTTAGTGTCAGTCAGGGTTAGGAAAATTTTGTTGAATTAATGTTTGCTGATTTAAGACAGATGATAAAATTTGTTTTTAAAATTTCTTAAAAATTGGTAGCTTATTTAATTAATATGCTATTTAAAATTTGAGTTTTTAAAAAGAATAAATAATTTTATTTAAACGTAACAGTCACCCAGCATTTATCCATGTCATCTAATTCTAATATCTTGAATACTGAAGATGAAGAAAGCGACAATGAAAATAATGAGCTCACTCAAGATCTGATAGAAATTAACTTAGATGAAAAAGATATCCAGAAACTTGAACTGATCAACGATGATGACAATGATGAAAATAATGATAAGCATAAAGAAAATGATAACATTGATGAGGGGGAAATTTGTGAACAGGCTTTTCAATTTGAATATAATTTAGACAAAAAACCAGAGTTAAGCCATTGCGCTGGTGCTGCTGCTGATGATTTGAGAAGAGAATCAGTGACAAGTCGAGGATCATTCGAGTTTCTGAAAAGTGAAATTCTTAATGGAAAAGGTTTTCTAAATTTTTTTGAGAAATTTATTTATTCTAATAATTAAATTTATTTATTGCGCTTTTATCTATTAAAAAATTTATTATCACATAGTTCTGATTTTTATATTTCATTCTTATTACAAATTATTTATTAAAATTATAAATTGAACAAAAATTACTATAGGAATACTTGAAGAGCCCATGCCTGAAGACCGCATGTCATTCAGTAGTTTCAGCTCATTTAGTCACAATGGCCAGGGTTTGCCATACTTATTTTTTGTGTCTGATTTTTTTTCTCCTGAAAATATTATATTATAAATTCACTACTCTTTTTTTGATATTATAAATTCATTATTTGATTCTATTACATTGTGTTGTTTCTAAGTGGTGGTGGTTGAAAAAACTAGTTGTCATTGTTTCCATCCCATGGTTTAGCTATCTTTTTTAAGTTAATTTTTTGTTTCACAGAACCAAATCTCTGCCTATACATGTTTAGACCCATCTCAAAGTTTCTATTCACAATAAAATTCTCTAACTATCAAAATTAATAAGAAAGTCTGTTTAAAAATTTTATCACAAACAAATTCATTTTGAAATTGTAGATAACTAGAAAAATTGAATTAAACTATATTAAAAAAAACAACTCAAGATGAACTGAATGAAGAAGCAAAAGAGAGTTTTGTTTACAAGGATGAGGATGGTGAATGGGTGACTGATCTGGCCTACAAACAAACCTTCCCTAATTTTCTGGAGGGCGATGATGGCAGAGACACATTGTCATTGATGGCAAGCATGGCCAATGAAATGAATGACTTTGGAGGTATAGATGCTAATGACTTCAAGTCTGCTGGTGTGTGTTTTTTTTCTACCATTTTTTTACCGTTTTTTTCTTAATATTCCTATTTTTTTGTATTGTTCAAACTATGCATTTATAAATGCAATTTTTAGATGAATAAATTGATAATAATTCTATTTTCAATAAATTGAACATTCTAGTAAGGAAAATTGAAAAGTCAAACTTTAAATTGATTAATGCCAACAATTCATACAATACTGTATATACAATATATATTTATATATATGCACCTATGCATTTATTTCCATTACAATTTTTAGAATTAATTTTTGATAGACGAGGGTTTGAAGATGTTGGATGAAGACGAAGAGAAGTTTGATAAGGATGATATCATCACCACAGTTGGTTGAACCCTTTCTTTGATGAATTCTCATTTAATGTTGATTTAATTGTTAAAGCAAAAATGCTAAAAATGAAGTTTGTTTGTGTAGGTATGTATGTTATGTATGCGTGTGTGTGTGGTTTGTAGTGTGTGTATATTTATTTTTCTCTTTTTTACCTTTGATTACCTCATTTATATTCATTTAACTTTCTTAGTTTAAAACAATTTTTTGCCACAGATAGATTTTATGCATTAGTTTTTTCTCTATCATGGTTTTAATATATATATTTATATCACGTGTATTTTAAAAATTGTTAATCTGTGTTACCGAATTTTGCAGGATTATGATGTTAAAAATTTTATTTACTGACTAGAAATATCTCAATTAAGGATCAGTCTGTATCAGATGAAAATTTTTTTTAGAAAATTAGGTTTTACTAAATTTAACAAAATAATTTAAGAAAAATATTTTCTACTCGCCAATAACATGACCATAATTTTAAGGATGACTTGAAGTTGCTGGCAGAAGAGAGTGGCCTGTCACAGGACAGCTGGCTAGTTACCGATCAAAATTACGAAATCTCCTCGTCCGGCTCCAAGTACATGCGCATCTCCATTGGTACGTATCTAGGAATGTGCTCAGAAGATATGGGTTTTCTAGAGGGCCGACTTGCCTCTAGTCGGGTAGGTCCTTCTTTTTTTTTTTCAAAATTCTTTACCTCAATCTTGAGACTAAATGGATAAATATATTCACGTTCACGATAGTAATTATTGAATGATAATAATGACATAATATATATATATATATATATATACATAGATAGATAATAAAATAATATAGATAATTTATGTTTGTTGGTATGTTGTGAACTGTTTTTACTAAATGTCTATGTTACGTAAATTATCCCACGAGAACTACTATTGAGTATATTAATCATAATAATTTATAATAATAATAATATATAATAATAATATATGTAATATTTTTCTTGTCATGAACATCAGCCCATGTTTGGTAAAAAGCTGGAAAGCCCGCCTGCCAATCGTCGGCCAATTGCATTGTGTCGAAGAAGGATGACCAATTATAATAATAATAATAATAATAATGATAATAACAATAATAACGATAATAATAATATAATAAATAATAATAATAATCAAAACAGTTGTGATTCTGAAAGTGTGTTTTTATTTTTTGTTTTTGTTTTTTATTATTTTATGAAATTATTCAGTAATTACTGGGCCATGAATTACGTGTCTATTTTTTTCATTAATATTTTTGTTGAAATGTAAGATGAAATTTGTCAGGTGCAATTTTTAGTATTGTTTAGTTTCTTGTTTTTGATGATTTTAGTTTGATTTTTTTCTTAAGGGATTCAGTATTCAGTCAATAAATTAAGCAATCAATCATGCAATTCACAACCCACCAACAATCAATCAATCAAATCACAACTAATCTATATATCCATCCATCCATCTATCTATCTATTTATCTATCTATCTGTCTGTCTGTCTGTTTATCTGTTGTTTTGTTTGTCAATCTATCCATTCATCTATCCATATATCTTACTATCTACCTACCTACCTAACTACCTATCAATCAATAAAATCACATCAAATCAAAAATCATTAATTAATGATTCAACCAACCAACTACCATGCAACACAGTAGATTCCTCAATTGTAGATGAAACATTGACAGCTTCAGACCTGGCCTCATCTACCAGACAGCCATTCACAGTAGCCCTTAAAATGTTCACCCTGAAAACAATTCCCGAGGGTTCCTCCCTTCCTTTCCAATCATCCTCATCTGATGATGATGCAACCACCTCCTCCGCAGTCATCTCCAAAGAACCTGACACGTTGTCAATGAAACATCTGCAGTCGTGTATTGACGCGTCCAGTAGTTCTGCATCTGCGGATGTCAGAGAACTACTACATTCCCGTTACTACTCTGATCAAAGTTCATCAGCAAGCAATCTCGACCAGGCCGCGAGTGATGATGCAAATAAGAGATTTAGCTTAGGAATTGGAGATGGGTCCATTCCATCACCCATCCCTATTTCTGGACCCCTCATTAAAGGAGAGTTTCTCAAGACAACTGAGTTGACTAGTTCGCTCTGGGCTAGAAACACAAATAAGATGAGTGACAGTGACTCGGGTAAATTCAGTAAGACTAAGACTAACAGTAGCTTAAGGGTGTCTGATGCTAAAAAATCTGATAGCAGCACAAGGAAAAGTACTTCGGTTAGTAAAAATAAAAAGGATGAGAATAAAGAAAATATTGGTAGTATTACTGTGGAAGTTTATTCAGCACAAAACACGCAACTAAATTCAACAGATAATTGTAATTCACGTGGTGCAACTGCATTGGCATCATTAGAAAACATTACAAATAGTCTTACTACATCAAATGGTTTCGTTGAAAATAGCAGTACTAACAATACAATACCAGTGCTTAATCTATCACAAGCTGAATCAAAAAGTTTACAATCTGAAAATAAAAGAAAAAATGGTACTGGTGATACAGCATTCAGCAACGAAACACTTGAAAACAGCATAGAGAACCTATCAGGCATGGAAGGTTGTGTCAATAATTCTTTTGTGACTCACTTTTGTGAGGAAATCAGCAAATTACAAAATGCTGAAAAGCTAAGAGACGTGATTATAAGATGGTCCAACAGTAAATGGGGTAAAAAACATAACCAAGACGGACAGAGTGACGTTGACGAGATTTTAGATGGGAATATAGAGAAAGAAAGCCTAAATGATGTTGATAGATGTCGGGGTGATGGTTCGTCTCTGGCGTCAATCCATGGACTGGAAAACAATTTTGAATGCCAATCTTTTTACCCTATGAGGAAGTACGCCTCATCCGGTGGGAGCAAAGTTTTTGAGGCGGAAAATGTCATTTACAAAGATGTCTCACCTTCGAAAAAACTTTCAACTGATGGCAACGATCTTTCGAGAATTTCAGATCTTCCATTGTCAGAATCTACATGTTCTGATCTGGATGATAGTCAGTTCTTGAAGCTTGATCAAATGTGCAAGGAGATAAGTTCATTTGAGGATGGATCGATGTCGGATAACGACAGTTTACCTAGTTTCTACTTCCGTAATTCCGAACCACCTGCTGCGGCTGCTGCTGCTGATGAGACCGTCTCACAAGCGCAATCAACCAAGGAAGGTAAAAATGATGATGGAAGGAGTTCTAACGTATTTTACTCCCCTAGACCCAGCATCTCATTTCTAGAGTTGAAGCAACAGCAACAGATGGTGAAGATTAGCAAATTGAATGTCCAAAAACCAGAAGATAAAAATGTTAGGGTGGCGACGAAGTTGCGAGAACAAGAAGGTAGATCAAATGCTGAATTAAAGAGTAAGTTAAGACGGACCTCGCGTAAGCTTGATCTCACTTATAATAGTAATTTAGTTGAAATCTCCACTGATGAAACAAGTGCTCCCACAACAAGTACAGCCGCTACTACTAACAGTACTGATAGTAACAATCGTGGCATTAGTAACATTAGTAAAAATAATTATAACAGTAATGATATTAAATCCAACAACTCATTAGTGCAGACTGGTCTAGTCTCAGAAGATGACAAAGAGACAACAGAACAACAGCAGCAGCAACCAGTTATAAAGCACAACCACATTGACACTGATGCAGATGCAATCAGTAAAAGTGCCAGCAATGATAAACGTGATGATGCAGATGGGGATAACATTAATAAAAAGGGCAGCAAAAATGAATCAAGGATGGTTAAGAGGATATCTTCTGCTAACAAAGGAAGCATTGCCTCTACTGACATTCGATGTTCAGACAAACTGCCTATGAAATCAACAATCAAAAACATCAATGATAGCAACATTGCAAAAATTTCTGACACAAGCTTAGGTAATGCCAAGGCTACTGCTTCTACTTCTACTACTACTACTACTAATAATAATAATAACAATAATAGTCAACACATTGAACCTTCCAGAAGACCTCAACATTACCAGCAGACAGCAGCCATCCCCTCATTATTCAGTATGGTCTCAGCCCCATCTCTATCCTCGCCAACACCAACAACTCAGCGCTCATCCAACGACAAACGTACAAAATTGACATCATCCTCAATTCCCACCCATCCACCTACCACTACTTCAAAAATGTTCCTTTCAGAAGCTGTTGTTGCCCCACCTGATAGAGAGATACCGCAGAATGCTAAAAGCGTTCATAGTGATTTTTATGGTAAAACGAAAATGCCAGGTGAAGACTTTTCATCATTTCCTCCTGGTAGCAACAACAATAATTTTATGAAAATTGGTTCGACATCAAGTTCAAATCTTCAAAATGAGAATGAAGCAGAACTTGTTGAACAGCCGAATGCACTTAAAAAGGCAGTCGACTTGTCAAGATTTAATCTCCAACAAACAGGTATTAGCAGCAACTACAGTAGAATCAATACAGGTTCCCATGCGGATCCAAATCTGTCATCGTCTTTGAAACTACCGTCGTCAAATTTTATGATTCCATTGAGACAGGCTAGGGATTCGCTGGACACAACCTCCTGGGGCGACACCACGTTATTTGATCTTGCTGCCATTGTGCCGCCAAAACTCTACCAATCCTCAACATATCCGAGTGATTTGCTGTCTACTGGCAAAGGGTCAAGAGAGGCCGTAGACAAGCCATCATCTGGATCCAACGATGCAACTAACTGTAAAGCTAATGGTTGTTATTTTTGACGTTCTGTTTAGTTTTTCAATTTAAAAATATGTTAATATTTTTTTACGTTATAACTATTTTATTATGTCGTAGTAATGTTTTTAACAAATTAAATCTTATTTTTTACGTCATGTAAAAAACCTTAAAAATATTTCTCCATCCTCTAATAGAAAAACTTAAAAGCTGCAGCAGTAGTCTTCATCGGAGTTTGCAACCAGTTATAGTTGATGAGATGCGCAAATTCTCAAAGGTGTGTTGCATAGGCATGTCTACAGAGTCCATGATTCTCGTGAAGAACGTCAACGTTGTCTCCATACAGCTTGAGATATCTATGCTTTCATTGTCTGTTGATGCTGTAGCCAGGGATGTTGATATCGTGAAACCGTTTATCTTCAAAAAAAAACTCACCATGGCACCACAATCTGAAGATGTCTTGAAGGTTGTTTTAGGGTTTCTTTGGCTTATTTTTTACTTAAAAATTATGAAGACTATTGTTTGCTAAACCATGTCCAGTTTGTTCAGTAATTGTTAGCTATATAGTTTACTGTGATAACTGCTTACCCTTTATGAACATTTAAGTTTAGTTAAAACCTTTTTCAATGATTCTGTTTAAGCTGAATTTTCTGGAATCTTTTGTAATGTTTAAACTAATTTCTAAATAATTTTTCATTAATTGTTAATTTTTCAAATGATTGCCAAATTGATTGTCATACATTGTATCAATATTTTTAGCATTACCCCTCCAGCCATCATGCCAATACCTTTCAACAATTGACTCAGGTTATATTCAGTCCTGTCCTGGCGGGCCTGCACGAGTGCCAACTCTGCTTCCGTATTGTTCAACCCTCGAATTTGATTGCCAAGTCTTACCTCTCCTCGTTTGCTACTGTCATAGCTGAGTCGGAGCTGCCTAACATTGTTGTTAGGGCATTTAATTAAATGTTTTTTTCACTCACAAATTAATTAAATAAATTAATAATTTATTTGATGTGTTTTTTGACTTCATCAGTTTGTTTTTTAATTTTTTTTTCATGTTTTATATAAATATGCACCTTCTTGTTTCTTTTTGTTTATTCAATATCATATGTAAAGTGTGTTTTTTTCAAATTTTACAACTGATTAGGTGACGATACCAAACAACATGTCCATGCTCGATTTCGGCTCGCTACATTGGGCTCGCAAGAAGGCACTGCCCATTGTAATCAGCAACAAAGGCCGGTCCGCAGTTCCTATCAAGGCTTTCATTACTATGGTTTGTAAATTTATTTTCAACAATTTAATCATATTATCATATTTTTTCATTTGAGTCGGGGGTTTGAGTTGAATTTAAAAGCTCGATTTAAGAGCTCAGTAGAGTTCAATGTGTAGTTGAATTGACCTGCTTAATCATTTGTTAATTGTTATATAATATACATATTGAAGCTCTCACAGCCACGTCTCAAGTCACAACTCAACAACAACTACGAAGATGTTGATTCTAACTGCAATGAAGAACAACAGTCAAATTTTTTCTTTGTGAAATTCGACGGTGACCAAACAAATGCCGACTTTGTCATCTCCGACTCCACGTCGTTCCTACTGCAGCCCCCTCCTCCCGATCACCACCAGCCCCTCCCTACAACTCTTGCTAAGGAGGGGAAGGAACTGATGAGTTGTTGGGACGTTGGTGGAAATGATGATGAAAGCATTGACTCGGTCAAGTTGATGGTCATGTTTAGAGCTCCCCAGGAACCGAGTTCGTTTTTTTAAACAATTTCATTTCCTCATTTTTTGTTCGTTTGGTGATGACGATATTATAGCAAAAATATTGCTCTTCCAAATTGATTGTACTTTGTGA